CCACAATCCTCCTCTGTAATCAAGGTACTGGATTTAAATGAACACCCCCTTCTCTCTTAAGGTCTGCTGTACTACGCTGGTCATGGATATGAGAACTACGGCAACAGTTTCATGGTGCCGGTAGATGCACCAAACCCGTACAGATCAGCCAACTGCTTATGTGTGCAGAGCATCCTGAAACTGATGCAGGAGAAGGAGACAGGCCTCAATGTTTTTCTGATGGACATGTGCAGGAAAAGGTGAGTGCTAACTGTTTACTGACGAAAAGATGAATCAATTAATTAAGAAAATCAATTAATTAATCAGCAAATTCACCAATGTATCATAGAGCTGTTATAGATTAATCACCTTGGTTTGATCTCAGAAGGTTTATAGATTTATTCATTTTCCAGGAATATTCATGACGATAGCGCTCCAAACATTGTCCTGAGGGTCACGGCCAACATCGTGTTTGGATATGCAACGCAAGTTTAAAACATCATTTTAAAATTGATACAATAAAATCTAAAAAATCTTTAGAAAAATAAAATCAAATGTTGTTCTCCTCATGTGGCTGTGCAGGTGCCAAGATGCCGAAGCCTTCGAGCTGAGCTCCAGTGGTTTCACCAACGGTGTGTTCGTCAAGTTTTTAAAGAAGCGACTGCTGGAGGATGAGAAGATCACCGTGGTGCTGGACAGAGTCGCTGAGGGTGAGAAGGGAACAGAAACTCATACATAATGCAACATGAACTATAAATGATCAACATGTTAAATATGTCAATTAAAAATAAGTGTGTAATCAACAAAGCCTTTAAAATGCAACTCAGGCTGCACTTGCATCTAAAAATTAATCTGCGACTGAGAAGATTTTGAGGCTAACATGAACCCTAACCTTAGCTCTGCCTTATTAATGTCAAAATTGTATCAGCTTACTTGTGGACTAATGAAGTTTCCTTTTAAATGCAGGGTAGATGAATAAAAACGACTTTAAGATGCCCTGACTATTTAATAAGAGTTGGGATCAGGACACGTTGTGTGTCTTAAATTTTTGCTAAGGGTGTGTCAATTAAATTAACATTTAAAATAAAACAATAAATAAGATGGCTCTTACACTGGGGCACATATTTTTTGATCACCCCAGGTTCAACTCATGTACCAGATGTACTGGATATTTTCGAAGGTTTAAAAGTCAATAAAAAAACATTTGTAGAAACAATGATTTGTAATTTTCAGACATGGGTCAGTTTGATGCTACGAAGGGGAAGCAGGCTCTGGAGATCCGCAGCAGCCTGTCAGAGAAGAGGGCTCTGGCCGATCCTATTCTGCCCGGCGACAGCGCCGATCTTTCTCACGCTCTCAGTCGACAGTGGGCAAAGGCTCACGGTAAGTTTTATTTAAAAATATTTGTTTGTAATACGTATGTGGTCACAATAGTGGGAAGCCTCTATTTGCTTACTGCGACTCAGTACAGCACGCTCATTCAAATGTTGACTCTGCTTACACCCAAACACAATATTATCACTCTTCTGTCAGCTGATAAATCTTTGCATACAGAAGACATTTGTTTTTTTTATGGGAAGAAGAAAACATTAATTGTGGTAGTTCAGAAGATTTATTCCAACCTGGAAATTCAAAGCATAAAAATATATTTAAAAACTGTGGACTAATACCACACATTAATACATTTTAAATACCTGTATAGCTGCGTACATATACATTATAGTGTTTGACCATTATTAAAATGTTTATTTAAAAAAAAAGATTGACAGTTTTTGTGTATTATTCCAGAGCTTCCTGAGAGTATGAGTCTCAACTTTGACTGCGGGGCTCAGATCAAGTTGGGCTTCGCTGCGGAGTTCTCTAACGTGCTCGTCATTTACACCTACATCGTCAAGAAGCCCGAGCACATGTCCTTCTGCCAAGCTCACGTCACTGACTTCTCACAGGTTAGTATGTTGTCATGAACACAGCTTATCAAACTTTAAAGTACATCGTACCACCTGTGGGGCAGTTAGACCTTGGTATGATCCAGATGTTATTTATTTTTGTGTATTAATTGGTTGTGTTTGAACATACTGTACACTGCTACCTGCTTCTTCTCCTCCCTGCAGGACCTTGATGTGGATCCTAAAGAAATGAACAGAGAGACTCCAGAGGAGACGGGCATCTACCTCCTGTCCAGCAGCCTGCCGCAGCACTGTCTCTACACCAGACTCAGCTCACTGCAGAAGCTCAGGGTAAAACACGTCATTATATTCTGGACGTATAGTGCTGGCTAAAAGTTGAATATCTGCACAAACAGAAAAAGATTTGTGTTTATCCCTGTGATCGCGCCGGTGAAAGCCAGTGGCTGGAGGCGTAATGTTTTCTGGTTGTCCATCCGAACATACGTCCCATTCTTGTGAATGTTATATCTCAAGAATGTAGTGACAGAATTTTGGTAAAATTTGGTGCAAAGATTTTGGATTCTTTTTGAACTACTATTTTGGAGAATTTATTTTTTTCGGGGAACTGATATGTATGTGCCAATTTATTTTTAGATGCAGAGATATTTCAAATTTTTAAAGCTATAGAAGCTACAGCAAAAGTCAAGGTATCCTCATGTCACCTGGTTTATCCTCCAGGTGCCATGAACGTTTGCATAAAGCTTCACATCATGATTTGAACATTGGATCGAGAGAGAGAGAGAGAGAGAGAGAGAGACTGGCATGGCTAGAGCCACTTTAAAAACAATCACAATAAATATTCTCCTCACATGCAACAGGAGGAGCTGGTGTTCACTGTGTGCCTTCAGGGTACCTTCCCAGCCATGGACGACGATCCTGTCCATTGGACCAAAAGCATCAACATTGGAAAGCCACTGATAGCCCGACTGGACCTGCACGGGGCCATGCGGAAGAATAGCTGCCTGCAGACCTGCATGATACCCCATAGCCCGTCACACAGCCCCTGCCACAGCCCCAGGCCTGAACACTGCCTCCACCTTAATCACGGGCTGCTGCAGGCCCAGGACTTCAGCCGCTTGTCCCCGCAGCCCCACATGTACGAGTGTTTTCATGGCGCAGTGGGAGAATCCTTCTATGAAAATCTCAGCCCGTGTCACAATGAGCAGATGCACAACTCAGGTGGTGGGCTTTCAACCTCGCCAGGTAGGATGAGCATCCCTATAGAGGCCAGCGATGACATCAACGAGCTGCAGACAGTGTTCATCAACAGCCTGCAGCTTCAGCAGCAGTGAATCAGCTGCTGGAATATCATCGATATTTCTCAGAGGAGAAGCTATAAATATCTAAAAATGTATCTGGAATAGTGCTGCTCTTTCTCTTACCTATTGTTAATGAAAAATATTTTTTAGAAAGTTATATTCTTAAACCTTTAACCACTATTTGTATTGACAAGCTGTATACTGACATTACTCTTGGATTTTAATTTTAGAAATACATTTTTACGAAAGTAAAGAAAGTATATTTCCGTGAACTGACGAAGGGTATTTTTTTCAGTTTTATGAATTATTTTTGATTTCTTATCCGTTGAACCATCACGGTACCTTAATGGTGCTCAAGTAAATATATGTAGTTGCTTTCCACCACATAAGTAATCAGTGATAAAAAATCACCTCCCACTCAGAATATTTGCACAAAGTTAATAATCTGCTCTTTGTGTGAGTGTTATTGTCGCTGCGCCCTCAGGATGGCAGTATTAGGCCCTCGCTGCTGCTCCTCTTCCTCCCCTCATGTTATCAGGTACTCTGACTTCCTTGTTTAGCCGTGAAATATGTCTCAACCCTGAAACTCTTTTAAAGAGTTCCACCGCTACTTTGGACAATAGCCTGGTCAGATGAGAGCTGTCATGGTCCACTGCTCACTTCATTCCTGTAGTTCCAGATATCTGCAGTGGGCTACAACAAGCCAGACTAATTCACTACTCAATAGCAATACAACAAAAGCACAATTTATATCGATCTAATGTTTATACATTGTGTAAACAGTAAAGTTGGGGCACCACATAATTGATCTGTAAAAGTGTTTGTCATTCTCTACTGTATAAATCTGCAACCCTCATTATATATATATATATAGTCCAGCCCTTCTCCACTAGTTGGACACTTTAAAGAATCCCACAGATCTGTAAGCACAGGCATAATATGCTTCCCCACAGTTTTGCAGTATATGCGTGTGACTCTGTAGCACATGATGAATTAATCTCCTTACATAAGAAACTGAGTCCTGCAGCAGGGCGGACCACCCACTGACACCTGAACTCTGCAGATCATGAGAGGGATTCAAGCTCAACAGTTTTACACATGAGCTGGAGATTTGTGAGAGGAACTGTTTATTAAAAAAACAGATGAAGAGGATATTGACAAATAACAAAATGTAGTAACGAAAGAATGGAGAATATGAGCACACCTCGTCTGCAGAAGAAAACATTTCAAACAACCTTGATGTGTTGGTGTTCATGTCAGTGCTGCATTTTACACTTTGACCCACATGTGGGTGTTTTACTCAGTGTTATTATAAATATTGGACATGAGGGTTGTTTTCAAGGGTGAAAAGAGAACTGGAAAAGACAAAGACAAGCTCTTGCTTAACTGAAGTACTCAAGTACTTATGAGATAACTTCTGTTCAAATGTACTTTTTGTTTCCGTGTTGTCCTTTGCCCTCCACCGTGAGAGAATTTCTGCATATCAAAGATGAACTCATTCGATTTTGCCGGTCAAAGGTCAAACTCCCTGCTCTTTATGATAAAGTACAGTCAATACCTTTTATTGAATTCTGCTGAAGTCTTCCTAAATATATATATATACATGTACATATATATTGAATTTAAGGGGACAGTTGGGCCGTGGTGGTGGTATTTGTTCTATACATATACAATTGTATAAAAAAAAATGAATCAGTTACAGTAACACTTTCATATGTATAGTTCACACTCGTGGTTGTTTTCATCGGGGCAGGAAGCTCATGTGACCTTCAACTGCCAGGTCCTCTCATGTGACAGGAGGGGGCACCTTGCAGAGACTCTGCAGTGGAAACATCCAGCTGGGATGAATTCTGTGATTCTCATCGCAGAAAGCAACATTTTGATTTAAAGTACAGTTGTGTTTGTTTCAGTTTGTTCTGTCTGTGCACGGCCCTGCTGCAGCACAGCATCAAGAAATAGACCCTGCCTCTTTGAATAATGGATGGAGTCAGCCACCCACAGGCTGCAGGGTGATATCATGGCTGCGTCACTTGTGCAACTGAGGGAGGAGGGGAGGAGTGGTGAGACGATGCAGAGAGAGGAGGCCCAGTGAGAGAGGTGCTTGCAGAGGAGGAGGACAGACGGATTATAATCATGTCAACCTCGTGGAAGAAGCTGCTTTTTCAGACCGTCCTGCTCCTCATCTCCTGCAGACACATCAAAACAAGTAAATGATACCTGGGGTTCATTGTGACTGTGTGTTGTTGTGTTGCTCTGCCTCAGCTTTTTCCTGCCAATGTTCTGTAACCTTGCAAAGAGGAGTGGAAAAAAAAAAAAAATCACAGGATTTCAACACCTTCATGTTCAACATCATTTAGTGTGAAGCTGCCAGTGGTGAAAATTTGTTTATTTAAAAAAAAAAAAAAAATTATTTGTGGCACAGAATCCTCTGAGAGAGCATTCACATCATGACGGGACATGAAAAAACTCTCCTTTAAAACCAAGAGCAATTACTTATCAATGCACCGGAAGCTTTTATGTAGAAAACTCAAAAATTGGGGGGGAAGTTATCAGTCATATAAAATATACCTTCAGTATAGTAACAGTTAAGGAAACACCTTGTTCAAACTACTCAAGCAGCTAGTTTGTGTTTTTTTTTATCATGCATCCATTAAAGGTTCAGTATGTAGGAATTACTGACATCTAGTGGTGAAATTACATGTTGCAGCCGAACACCCCTCACCTCACCCTTCCCTTCCAAACATCAGAGAGAACCTGTTGTAACCTTCAGTTGTCATGAAAACTCAAAAGATGTTTAGTTTGTCCAGTCTGGGCTACTGTAGAAAACATGGCGGCCTCGGTAGAGAGGACCTGCTCCTGATGTGAATATAAAGTATTTAAATATTAAAGGTCTATTCTACAGTAAAGAAAACAACAATTCATTCAATTTAGATAAAACACAAGTGGAAACATCACTAGGATTAATTTATATTAAATGATTGCCAGTAGATCCCTTTCACCTAAATCTTACACACTGAACCTTTAAGACAAGAAAGGTTTGTGTGTTTTTACACATTTATTTCTTTTTCTTTCAGAGACATCAGGCCCAACGCCTACACCACTGGTTCCCATCAGTCCTCTGTTGACCGTTGGAAGAAGTGTTGTCGTTAAAGGTAACTGTCAGTACATGTTATATTTAATATGTCTGCATCTCGGAGACTTGTTTCATCCCAGCTTGATGTAAATATAACCAAGGGATGTGAAAAATAGGATGTTTGATATGATCTCACCTCTGAAGAAACCAGGTGAGTAGAATCTTTCCTCCACTCTCCACACAGGCGAAGGTCACACTGAGAAGGTGGAGCTGGTGAACCCTGTGGATCTGGAGCTTGAGTGCATCTGGAGCGGGAACCCGAACAATCTGCCAAACATAACCGGCTGCTGGAGAAAAGATGGAGATGAAATCGAGGACGGTCGCGTCACGGTGCAGCTGGAGAACGAGAAGTATCATCTCAAACGACTGTAAGTGTGTCCAATATTTTACCCATTCGCTTCAGAAAATTTTATTTTTATGCAAAGTTTGCGGGTGTTTTTGAAGTTTATGACCTGTTCACTGTCTGATGATTCAAATAGATGCAAAATATTTCATAATTTGTGCTAAATTCTTATTTGTATTTAATGTTTTTTAATGTTTAGTTGAACAGATGAAGTTCCAGACAAGTACATGTACTCTGTTACTGTATTTGAGTACATTATTTATATATCTGTACTTTATATTTTGGTACTTCTTAGTTTTTCTCCTCTAAATACATCAGCAAATATCTGTACTTTGCATTAAGGAACAGGGTACACTCAGCACTTAATAATAATTTCTATTTATTCATACTTTCACACAGACGTGTCTCACACATCTCACAGAATTTGGACATCTTACTGCCAATCCATATAGCTGCAATTGTTAAATGAGAAAGAATGTATTTTTCTGATAATTATATTTTTAGTTTTAAGTTTACTTGATATGAACATGAAGTAATTGTTTTCTTCCCCCACAATTTTTTGTTGATGTATAAATAATCTGAACACATTTCATTGTATTTAATGTTCAGTCTTGTTTTGGTGGAAGAATCTACAGACCAGTAACCTTTCTGCAACATTATTCCTAAATCAAACCTAATACGTTTTGGTGTAAAACCTCTGTCATCTGTTTTTTCTTCACAGGTTCAAGATCGTTGATGAAGAAAACCTCGGAAATTACTCTTGTGTGTTTGGAAATGAAGCAAAAGTAGATTTTATTTTGGCAGGTACCCATCACATCCTTCTCATATGAGTCTATAAACCTGCATCACGTTTCACTTTCAGGATGGTGCAGGATCATTCTCTCATCACTTTCTCTCACCAGCTCCACAGATGGGAGAGGTGCGAGATAAGCCCATCGTCAGCTACGTGGGGGATTCGGTGGTGGTCGCATGTAAGATGGAGAGCACCAAACCCAAGCCCCTCTCCTGGAACTGGTACAAAGCAAACGGGACAGATAAAGTGAGGGAGCTGTTTGCTGACAGGCTGCTTTTGATTTGGTGTTTCAGTGAGATTTATATAATTGGTTATTTTGAATTATGCACTATTTAAATAAAGTTTGTTTTATTTAGTTCTTAATTAGTAAATTATAGGAAAGAGATATCTTGTTAATTCTTAATTTTGCCATTTGAAAGAATCCTGTGGGAATACGTGACCTCACCCAGTGGATTAATAGGGCGGCAGGTACTAAGCTGTATGATGCTCTTGTCCTATAGGAGCAGATATTTGTTGCAGCAGAGTCTCGTCAGAATGAAATCACAAACAAAGAGAGGACGACCAAGCTGGTGGTTCACAACCTGACAGAGGGCGACTCCGGCTTTTATTACTGTGAAGCAGTGTACGCCATCGGCACCACGATGGGCCACGTGGAGCTGAAGGTCAGTCGTGGAAAGTTACTCTGTACATGTAATAAAGTCTTGTAATTTTGTGGTACTTGTACTTCATATCGACTGATACTTGTAGCCCTAGAGAGGATTATAATACTTTTTAATCCATGTATTTGACAGATATAATCTTTAGTTGTTACTTTCCAAAGTCGTTCAAATATCTTAGTTGATTCACTGATATTTCCTCTAAATTCTGAGAAGGTTTTATTGAAATAATTCACTCATGTGTTAAATATAAGATATTTCTTTAAAATACATACATGGAGTACAAGGGTATATACTTAACAATAACATTTTGATTACAATACCTATGTGCTTCTGTTTCAGATTGAATACAGGACATTTACTTGTAAGGGAGTATTTTTGTTTCCATGGTTAAAATCTGTACGTTCCTCCTCCACCACTGAAGGTCATCACTCTGTGGGAACCTCTGAAGCCATTCATCGCCATCCTGGTGGAGGTGATAGTCCTGGTCGCTGCCATTCTGCTCTACGAGAGAAGTCAGTCAAAGAAAAACTGCTCCGAAGGTAAATCAGACACAACAAAACACATGGATGCGTTTGTTTTTTTCTCAGTTTTGAACAATGTATTTTATTTTTAAATGAATTATCTTTCTTCTTCTCAGTTAATGGGACAAATGTGGAGCAATCACTGTGAGTACTGTGTGACTGCTGCTTTAGTTTTCTATACCATTTTCTAATAGTATTTATAGAGGTTTAATAGTTGTTATTAATAGAATACATTTCCAATGCATTATATATTAGTTACAAGCCAACAATAAAAACAACTTTTGGGTTTCCAGATTGTGGAAAATCCTCCTCCATCTTTTAGCTCTTTAATTTATTTTGGACACAGTTTAACCACTTGTCTCTTGGAGACCAGCTGCATCTGGATTCAAATCCTTCTAGAAACTAGTTCAGCTTATTAGCATTTAAAACTACAGACCTTGATTTACTAAGTAGTTTATAAATTTAAAAGCTTTTCTTTCAGATGTCCTGCAGATTTTTTCTTGTAGATTAAGTTGTAAGTCAAAGATCTAAGTTACAGCACATAAACCTTGCATAAATAGTGCCTCATAAGAGACACATCTTCAAGTTTAATGCGTTTATTTGTGGTTTTAATGTTACTTTTGATGCCCTCACCAGGACGCAGGGAGAAAATAACGGACCAGAGGAAAGTTCTTCAATGAGACAGCGAAAGGTTTAAACTCTCTGCAAGTAAACGGATTCTGCTTTTGCTTATTTTCAAACGTGAATGGTAGAGCTTAAATGCAACATTAAAGAATTATTTTTGTGTCCTCAATGAAAATCTAAATATTTTCACCAAACAAAATGCAATAATATGCATGAATCAGTTTTCACTGAATTGTGCTGGAAGATGTTTTTTGTCCAATCGACAGCAGAATCTGTGGTTAAAAGAGCTTTATCCTGCACTGAACCCTGTAAACCGTCACTTCCTGTGGAGTTTATTTCGGTGACTTTTCACCTCATTCCGCAATTGTTGCTTCTTTGTCAAAGGAAACCTCAACTTATCTTTATCTCGCTATGAATGCGGTTTGTGAGCAGTGCCTTACACTCTCAAAAAGCAATTATTGAACCTCACTGTGACTTTGTTGTTTTATGTGCGCGACACTGTCTACTTCCAGTGTGTTAGTTTAATATCAAGATAAACGCAGATGTCTGTATTGTTTTCATGACTTCAGTTATTGGTCTTTGTCCATGTTGAAGGTGTCTCGTATTCATGTCAACAAGCAAATTAAAACTACACAAAGCACCGTTACTGTGTTTGTTTCAGTAGCTGCTCACTAAAGACTTTAACTTAACTGATGTGGAAACAACACAGATTGTACAATAAATGTGTTTACAAATGCTGTAAACTGAACTCTACAGTGAAGTTAAATGAGGTGCTTGATGTCACTTAAATTAGAGTTGGTTGAAGACTTTAAGTTTAATATTACAAAAAATCTGGGCTGTGGAGTTAGAAAGAGGAGAGTTAACGCTGGACTCAGTCGACAATGAGGCAGCAGGGGAACAGAAAAAGGATTTAGAGTCAGTGTATTAACTGCAAATGACAAGTAGTGTCATTGACATAGTCATGCAATGAAAAATATATCAAATTGTATAAGTTTGTACAGAGAAACACACAAGACTCCTGATTATAAAGTATCATTTTATTTTTGCATAAATAATCTGCACATGTATGATAATCCTGGATGTGTATTTTTCTGAACGTTGTTCAAAACTCATAAACCTGTTCACACAGATTAAAGCAGATGTTTTTTTAAACAGTCTAACAAAACGTGCACATCTGCCGCGTTTTTTTCTTGATTTCTTGGATCTTTCATGGGCTTGGAGAAAAAAAAGACAGGTTTTTTTTCATCAGGAGACAGAAGCAAACAATCTGTAAAGAAGACGGACATCTGAGCAAGTCTACGGCTGGTTCATGAGGAAGTTAACCAGAAGCTTTATGACGCCATCGTTCAGGCCAACCACCTCTCCGTCCTCCACGCTCTCATACAGCCGCAGACTCTCTGTCCCCCACAAAAGATTTTTCCTGGGGTTGTTGGCGTCCGTCTCCACAGAGAGAGCCACTGTATTGAGCTGGTAGCAGAAGAAGGAGAAGAAGTGGCCGTCGGTGATCACAGCCTGGGATGCGAAAGGCCTGGTGACATCCTCGTAGTTCCAGAAACCTACAGAGGTGAGAAGGAAGTTTGACCACCAGCTGTTTCTCGTCACATGAGTAAAACTCCCCTTTTTAAAAACTCTCAATCTCACCCTGGTACATGGCCTGAGCTCCTGTCCAGGCGAAGAGGCTGGCGAGTGCGTTGGCTCTGAGGAAGACCTCCACCTGGTCAGACTGCTGCTGCCGAGCCATCCGGTCTCTGTGATATCTGTCAGGAACCAGGTGGAACTGAGTGTGGCCATAGCAGGCTGGGTCTGGCAGCTTAGAACCTGTTGATAAGACCAGGAGGATGAGTTTAATATGATCAGAGCACAACTGAAAGAGGAGTAATAGTATCATACAAAACAGGAAAAACAATAAGCCCATAGACTATTCAAGGGAGGAAACGACAGCAGGTTCGTCTGGCTGCACGTCTGCATGATCCATAGTGAGCGTACATGGAAAGTTGCAGGCTGGCGTCCTCTTGTGGCAGTAAGAGGTAACTGAATAATGAGAAATTAAACTTGCATGCCATCGATGACATGTAACTGGCAGGTTCACCAACCAGGACCCCCCGATAACAACCATGATTTTAAAAGAGACACTTGATAATCTACCACTGTTTCTCAGGTTTACCTCCTATGATGCTTTTTGAGGGTTATTAGAGAAACGAGATCCATACGGACGACACACAAAAGCTCCTGAGACTTTGTTTTTCTTAGGATATGAACAAAGAACTAAACATTTTCCCTGTATCGTCTTTTGGCTACTCTGACCTAGATGATTGAGTACACGGAGAATGTGAGCGGTTACCTGTGAAGATATTGTTGTCGTACTGTCTTCTGAAGAGAGGCATCACGTTGGGAGCATATGTGACCTCTGGGACCTCAGCTGCATACGACGCCTCCAGTGGAGTAAACTGAGAGGAATTTAAAAAGCAGGAAATGATGAGTTTAAATGATCCGTGTCCTTGTGTCAACTGATTTCTTTTGCCCTGTTGCCTCAGTAACTGTCATGAATGAAAACCTACTGTATCCATGTATTTAAATGTGTTTCTCTACTATATAAACTCTGTGGTGTTAAAAGTATGAGTACCTGTGGCAGCTGCTGAGTGGTCCTAATCTGACACTGTGGGCGGTCATCGATCTGGAACCTGATCGGCTCTGGATGGCCTCTCCGGTGCCCCTTTGGGATGATTCTCTGTCCTCTCCTCCAATAAAAGTTCACTTGTGGATTAATATCTGAAAAAAGAAAATTATATTATAATGTAGCTCATTTTGAAACAGGACGTTTTGCATTACTTAGCATTATAGTTTATATAAATATATGCTTGATATATATGTTTTCATCCCTGTCCATTTGTTTGTATGCAAGATAACGCAAATACTACTGGACAGATTTCCAAGAGACACTTTAGAAGGATGCAGTATGAGTTCAGGAAGAACCCATAAGATTTTGGTAAATCTTGGTTTATCAAAGAAAACAACTTGAGGATCTGGTTGAAAAAACAATTTTCTTCAATTTCTTCAAAAGTCTTGTTGGCTCAGTTCAAAACCAAGAAATATTCAGTGCTGTGCATCAAAGCATCAAATCTTCACATTTGAGAAGCTGGAACCAGAAAAGATTTTGCATATTTGATTAAGAATTTCTAAAACTGATATTCAAGCATCAGAAAAGTTTGATTTATTGATTAATTGACTGATGTTTGCAGCTCTGGACATGATAAGACTTGAATGATTCCCAGAGGAACTTTGATGTATTGATAGCAGCTGCAACATCCCAGTGATGTAGACACACATGGTTCAGTGATAGACGTGAGTATTTCTTCCACCTCTGATCATTAACACCACATATATACACATACACACACGTATATATATACACACACATGTATGTATACACATACACACATGTATATATACACCAATCTGTGTGATCCATACCCAGACTGGAGAGCAGCAGCAGCGGGTTGTGTCTGGTCAGGCTGTAGGAGAGTCCAGTCACCAGGTTCTTCAGAAAAGGTCCCACCATCATCTCCTGCTGTCGGTACAGGGAAGCTTTACGTTTCTTGAGGTGCCAGTGCTCCTGTAAAATCACTCGGGTGACCAGGGCGCGGATGTCAGCGAACGCCTCATCGTCCATCCCCGACACCGGGCTCGGTGCTGCGGGTGAAGTCGACCCCTCCTCCGGGGAGCCCTCCTGCGCGTCCAGGGTGAATTTCTCGGGCAGACCCGGGATGTACGCGGTCTTGGTGAAGTGCTGGTACCATCTGTCCGCGTTCCGAGCGAAGGTCTGCGGGTAAACCACGAATTTCTTGCGCTGGATGCGAGTGATGAGGGAGACCTTCTCCTCCACCGGGGCCGCGCTGATCTTCTTCACGCGCTCCTCGATCTGCCGCTGCCGGGCCGCTTTGCTTTTAGCCGTGAGAGAGTGCACGATGGGCGGGTACGCGGGCTCCTTGACGGCAGCCTCGGTGTGGACGAACTTGTGTTTGAGTCTGAAGGGAGGAAGTTTTTTAGGGAACAGCAAGGGCAGCGACGTGCGGGCCGCCATGTTGCCGCTTCTTCTTCTTCTACTGCTGCGTTGACACATGAACTAGCAGCTACACCAGCGCCCCCTACTGCACCAAAAGTCATTCTGTGAATATATTCAACAGTGTTTAAAGATCGATTCCCAGATACAGAAAAACATCAAGCGTGTTAAACACGTTTATCTCCGAGTAAAACATCGATATATGTTTTATTTACAGAAGCACCTGATGATATTAACACGTGACTGTGGTTGAGGCTCTTGAACGCCTCTTTTAGCCGTAACATGCCTCCTTGAGGGACACGCAATATTGTCGTAATTTTGAAAGTGAAAATTTTAGTTTGAAGTTTGAAGTTGTTTTGTCAAACTAAAGTTGGAACACACGGAGGGTCGGTCAGCCGAGCAGAAAATATTAAGCATAGAATAAGAAACACACAGGAACATGTACATTTAAAATAAAATAAAATAATCTAAAATAAAGTCATGTAAAGTTAAGTCAAATAAAAATATGGTTCAAATAAAATGGAGCTCGAAATCAAATAGAGCAAATATCAACTACAATTGAAGTGAAGAGAGTTCAAATTAGAGCTCAAATAAAAAAAAGTAGATCTCTAAGAAAATAAAATAGAGCACGAATAGAATAAGGTAGAGCTAGAAAAATAAAGTACAGCTCAAATAAAATGAAATATAGATCACAATAACATAAAGTAGAGTCCAGATGAAATAATTCAGGGCTTGAAATAAAATAAAGCTAAATAAAATGGAGCTCAAATGAATAAATAAAATAGAGCTGATAGCGATAATCCGTGCAACAGTTTCTTAAAGATGACTGAAAATAACACAACATAAATAGATTTCTGTCGAAACTAAAACATGTCATTTCCATAAACTCGAATGTAAACGGAGGCAAGTCGCGTTCAAGTTCCTGTTCTTTACAACATCACCGGTGGGGTACGTGAAGGCAACGTCAGCGTCACGTGTGTGCTCCGAGTGGTGATGGAGGCTCCTGGAGCCTGCGGTTGTTTTTAACAACCAGATAAATCTTCTCTGTGTTGAACCCTCTTTATATACAGTCTATGGTTGAACCTCATCCGCTGATGAACCAGTGATGATCGGTTTGCGGCGGATTTCACGGACGCGGTTCGTCGGGACCGGAAGTGTCCTCCTGGGCCGCCTGCAGCTCGTCGGTGAAGCTCAGGTATCTGCTCCCGCAACTAACAGGCTGCTCCTCGGTCTCATGAACATGTTGCTGTGTGTGGCTGCTGCAGGACACGTGGACGACATCTGTCCCTCCAGCTGTGACTGTGGGACACCTGCAGTGCAGCGAGAGGTTTGGTTCATTGTGGCACTTGCATGTTGTTGTGTATGTTGTTAGCATGTTAGCATCAGTCATTAGCTTGAGTCAACAAAACACTTCTGGGGTTTCAGGGGTAAACAGCGTTGCAGCCAAATACAAAACAATTGAAGTAAATGGTGACCACTAATTCAAACGTAAAAAAAACCCCAACAGAAATAAAGCTTATTATTCCTCCATGCTGCTCCTGTGGTGTCAGCCACATTCAAATTTGACTTGAAACAAGGTCATTTACATCATGTTTGTAACCTAAATGTCCTCAAATATATCCTGCTCTGGATCTGCGTTCGTGTGTGGATCACAGTACATTTGAAGAAGTGGTGACCAGTTATTTCAATAGTTTTAGATTTGGCTGCAACGCTGTTTACCCCAGAAACTCCGAAAGCGTTTTGTCACCCACCCCTTCAATCGACACAGTGATGAGTAGAGAATGAGTCAATTTTCATTTTTGGGCGAACTATCCCTTTAACATGTCTCTGTCCTGTTTCGCTGACCCTCAGAGACCACTGTGCACCAAGAGAGACGAGGTGAACTTGGCGGAGGAGGCCAGCAGGAGGTACGGCTCCTCGGCTCCGACCATCTTCTCCAAAGTGATTGACAGAAGCATCCCTGCAGATATTATATATGAAGATGAGAAGGTGAACATCATAACAACACGTGTCTGTCCAGTTATCTCTGTTGGTCTGTTCCACGTGGAGTTTAGAGATAAATTAGCACACACATGCTGATAAAGTTTGGAAATGTACAGTGGGTGATGACATATTTTATTGATCTGGTCATGTGTTTTTACTTTTTCCATATAACAATTAATATATGTTTCTTTGTGTGTTCATCAGTGTTTGGCATTCAGGGATATCAGCCCACAGGCCCCTGTTCATTTCCTGGTCATTCCGAGGCTCCCTATTCCCAGAATAAGCGAAGCCACAGATGATGATGCTGAGGTGAGTTATTCATCATTTTCTGTTCATTCTCTAAACCTGATGATGATTCTCTTCAGGGGTCGGGGGATGGCTACTGTCACAGAGACATTATGCTCACATGTAAAACATTTCATTTCACGTCTATGGAGCCCTAACCCTTATTCCAACTTCCAGCTTTTAGGACATTTGCTGGTTGTCGCCAAAAATGTTGCAAAGCGAGAATCGCTGAAAGAAGGATACAGAGTGGGTAAGTTAACAGTAATGACCTACAGTCTGTTATATGAAGACACAGTTTGATTACTTCCATGTTGAACTCTGGGTATGTCTCTGCCCTCCACAGTGATCAACGATGGAAAGCACGGTGCTCAGTCAGTTTACCACCTTCACATCCACGTCCTGGGAGGAAGACAGATGACGTGGCCTCCAGGATAATGGCGTCATGTGTACGCTAATGTATCTGTCAGCTAAGATACTTTTATGTGTTTAATCTCATGAGCGCAACATAATATCCGATTGATGTAGTTAATCCAAAGAAAATGAAATCCTCATTCCATTTCCTGAACTTAAAACTCACCTCACAAGATATGTGATGTAAATATGTTGATGAAAAGTTGATCATGAAGAGTAAAGAAATTATGTTTGATACAACTGCAAATAAAGATTATATTTCAAAATGTGAAATAATTCAGTTCAGTTTTTTAATTAAAAGTTCCTTAAAAAGAAAGAAACAATCATACAAACATTTATTTACATATTAAACACATTAAAATATCGATATATACATGTTAAATTAAATAACAGCATTTACTTAGAGCAGTCTTGTGTCATGTCAGTAAATGTGTGTTTCAAACAGACTCTAAAATATAAAGGATCCACTCTGATAAATCATTTATTAAGTGTTTTAAGCTGAAACAAACGGTGTAACCTTTTTTAACCATTTAACCTTTTAAAAAACTGACTGATACTTTGTGGTTCTATCATAAGCCATTGATGAGAACAACATTAGGTTGCCAGGTTGTGGAAATTCCTCTCCTTTTTTCTTTCTAGCGCTTTATTCTATTAGGGATCATCTCAAATCCACTGAGTCCTTGTGCTGCAAGAACATCTGGAGGAAAATCCATCTATCAACTGCAGATATATTGTGGTATAACCCTTTATTGTTTAACGTCAGCGTTTGACTAGCTGGAAACTAAGAATAAATAGTTGACCATTGGAGGGGGCTACCTGATGAGAGTGAAAAAGAAAAAAGTATTATGCTTGAGAAGACTTTCACACAATCTAATAAACTAAAAGTTATTATATATATTTGAGTAAATATAACTATTTGTTAATTCTAACCATTAATAAAGCTATTTTGGTTTGAATGTTTCATAAAGGGCACCCACTGGGACCCTCTCTTAGTCACATATAATATTTATAACCTACAGCATATAAAAAAAAAATTCTGTGTAGCACTGGCACTTTATTAATCCGCCCACTAATCACGTGCCCATGTATTGGCAGCGAGGGGTCAGTAACAGTGTGGTGTGACTGAGTGGTATGATTCACTGACCTTGCTGTCTGCAGGCAAGGTTACTGTGTGTCATCTGAGGACTGGGGGTTGAACTTTCCTCTATATTTACTTGCAAAACATTGACCACTTCCTTGAACAATGCTTTCAGACACACTCGGCTGTGAGATATTTACAGACCAGGACGAACCAAGGAATAAACGAAAGAAGATTTTTGGAGGATTTAAACTGCTTTGGTAAAATGATCCTAAGAAAAAATGACTGCTCCTTACTGATCTCCCTTATGCGCTTTGTTCTGTAGTAATCACTAAAATAGTGCAACAGGCAAACTTTAGAAGGAATCAAGGCAAATATCACAAAACATTCCTAATATTTTGCGTGTTTTATCGTGGTTTGACAACATCTTGACTCTTTTCTCATGATGTGTACATCTAGTAGAGTTGCACAAGTTTTGTTCAACTGTTAAATAACAGTTTTATGGGTCAAAGTCTCGTGTATCCTCATAAACCTGAGAAAACTTATCTGTTTGTATCCTATCTTCTTCTAACAGGCCTCATCTTGCATATCTGATAATGACTGTCTTCTTAAGTCGACCTGAGAGGATAAAGGTCTGAGTAACATGCAACCACCTACACAAGCACCGCTTTGAATATGAGCCTTGAATCTTTGTAGCATGAAATGTTTTGCATTGTCACCAATGCCAACAGCTGTCACCTACTGGAATTAACACAAACAAAGCCGGCTGGCACTAGCTGGAGACTGTCAGCGTGTCGGGTCCTCCTCACCTTGACAAGCTGTAACCTTTGGTCAAGTTTGTGGGTGGATCTCTAACTGTGCGACGCGGCTTCAGCAGCAGGTGTTTGGAAAGTTGCGCAAGTCTCTGTGGCTCTGGACGAGGTGTGAGTGCATGTCCTCACACGAGTCCCCTATAGGTTGATCTTACTGTCAGGGGGAGGGGGGCAACAGTCAAGTTGCCCTCTGACGGGCAAAGTTTGAATCCAGGTCTTGTCCTGTGCCTGACAGCTCCTGACCACTTCACACCATTCAGCTCTGTCACTGGACAAGGTAGGCTGTCATTCACTGTTACACTTCATGCTTTTTGATGGTCAAGTGTGAAAAGGCTAGGGGGCGTCTCATGTTGTCATGAATTGCTTTGTGTGTATGAGGTTTAAACTTGCAGTGCAGTAAATTAATTTTTAAATCTAAATTAGATATTTAGATTTAAGTAAATATGCACTTGAGTCTTTATCATGTCGACCGGTGATCAGACTGAAGTTGTGGTAAATATATTTAAGATGACTCAGTCACATGACTGAGAAACAACCCACATTAGAAATGAGCAGGTTCCTCGACTTTTATTGTTTGGTCAACAGAGTCTTCCTTTTAAACCCCCCCACTCCCTAATAACTGACTGCAGTTAAAAGTGCGTCTCCTCATGGACCTCATCTTTACACACTTTACACAAGCATGTGAAACTACTCTGGAACAGTCTGGATTTTGGATGTCGTGTTTTTCCCTCATTTCAGGGTAATGTACAAATCTGAGTCAATAACGACACTGAAATCAAATTCTTTGTGCACTTCTGTTGATATTTGCATAATCCAGAGCAAAGCTTTTGTCACTCCACATTGCCACACTAGCTTTGCAAGTCGTATGAACTTTGGTCGACAGAAATCTTGAGCAAAGTTATCTTAAAAACCAGAGGTCGCACTGAGATTCTGCTGGGTGTACAGATGTTAATCTGATGTGGTTTTATTACAGATGCAGCTGAAACATATGTCAGTGAAGGTGTCACTCGTTTTATTGGACTGAATAATTGAGGATGTGCACACGTGTGGGGTAGTTTAATTGTTATTACTGTTGCAAAGTGTGCACACTAGATGGCCTTATTTCACTGTGTGTAGAGAAGGGACATAAGAGGAGGGAGATGAGGACAATGGACTGACAATACATTATGTCTGTCAAAGTTCCCCCCAGTTTGAGACAAATATCAGAATGTGTGCGTACAGATGTCCCAGTGCCATCTGGCAGAGTATTCATCGTTTCATCATTTGCTGTACGTGATTACTAGCGTTAGCGGTCATTGGCTCTGACCTGTTGCAATAACTTTAGTGAGTCTCAGTATAAATAAGCAGAGTTGTGATATTTCACAATCAATATTCTTATCAGCGTGGAGGCTGCTCACTGGAGGACGTCTGAATGTTTTCATGCCACTTCTAGTTTTCATTGATATTAATGTCGTTTTTTGTTGTTTCTAGCAAATTCAAGATGAGCATCCAAGAAGATTCAGTTCTGAGTAACGGTGTTGCAGTCGGGGATGGTGACACTGAGAGGTATGTCAAGTGATGCACGTCCCAAAGTTAGAGAAAAATCTTTTACTAATTCAAGATTCAAGAATAATGTTTAGTGCTTAACTCGATATCCCTTCTCTTTCCTGTAACCTCTGAATCATTTTCACAGCATCCCCTCCCAAACAGACCAGACTGTGTCGGACTTAACAGATTTAAAGACGTACTCCACTGTCATCCTCAACGGAGAAGCCACCACAGCTGAGCTCAGGGCAACATCCACTTCAGAGGACCAGGAGACTGAGGCTCCGGTCAAACCTCCCAGATCTCCTGAGCTGGAGGAAAAAACGGAGGGACTTCCACCCGGTGAGTATCTGAGTGTGATTTTAAAGAGAGGGGAAATAAGCAGATGTGGAAAAACCGCTGCAGAAGGGAACATGTTGAAGAAGAAAATGATTGGAGAGCACAGTGGTTTATACAGACAGGACAAGAAGTAAGAAAAATAAAACATATTGCAAAAACATATTTTATGTGTATTTAATACTATATTTCCACTATATCTAATCCTGGGTGGTTTTACATTGCATATGTGATGGCAGCTTTACTCATAAGATGAACATGTAGAAACATATGTAAACCGGTTTTATTATGAAAGGTCAAAACCCCAAAATTGCAATTTCTGCTTCACACAAAGGTCCAGTGTGTAAGATTTAGGTGATGGGGAACTATTGGCAGAAATGTAATGTAGAATAATCCTCATGATGTTTTCACTAGTTAGTTTCATCTAAATTGTATGAATTGTTGTTTTCTTTACCCCAGAAAAGGCCCTTTATATTCAAATACTTTATATTTAAATACTTTATATTTACATCAAGGGGACCCTCTCTACGGAGGCCGCCATGTTTTTTACATTAGTTCAAACTGGACAAACTAAACACCTTTTGAGTTTTTATAACAAATGAAGCTACCACAGGTTCTTTTTCAAGGAGAGGGTGAGGTGAGGGGTGTTCAGCTGCAACATGCAACTTTAACACTATCACAACATTCTACACACTGTACCTTTAAGTTTGAGATACTTCTATTTAATATGTTAATCAGCAGGGTTGTCAAGTTAACGAACCAAAAACAAACATTTTACTCTTTGCAATGACAAAATACATCACAAAGAGAACTGGAAAGTCTTATTTATTTTAATTGAGATTTCAAGATTGAAAAAGAACATTTAAGTGCCTGAGCTCCTCCGACTGGTTTCATCACACTAGCAGGTTTTATTCAGTTCAGTTGACTCGTCAGTCCACATTATCTTGCAGGGAGGAGCAGCGTCTTTCTCATTGATGTTTAGATTTAAAGGCTCCTTCAGGGAATACCAAACCACAATTTTATCATTCATGGCTGCAGGTTTGCTGTTCAGGTGTTCATGTGGTCTGTCCCTTCAAACACCAAGCATTTTTGGTCATGCAACCAGCACATGATTGGGGATAATATAACCAAGGAAATAAAATAGGAGAAGAATGGAAGAAGAAAAAGTGTGCCCTAAAAGTTAAGATCTGAATGGCCTTGTGGGTATTTTTAAAGCAGCAACTGAATAAAAATCACACTATTTACTAAATAAATGATGCAGATCTAAATAAACAGATGTTGTTTGCGGAACTACAACAAGACAGAAGAAAACACACCTCAGGTCAAAGAGCTGCCTCTGTGGGAACTGACAATAAATTCCTGCAAAAGGAAGGAGCAGAATGATGAGTAGCATCTTAGAGTGCTAGTGAGAGTCAGACACAAGATGACAAAGAAAATAAGATCAATCAATCAAAACTTTATTGATAAATCACCCTTCAAACAAATCAACTGCTGACAAATAGTTTGAAAAAGGATTAAGTTCAGAGATCAGCGCAGTCATACAATGTAAAGATCACAAAGTAAATGAAAACAATAAAATGTTAATAAAACAATAAAGAAGGACATAATAAGAAGAATCTGATTGTAAATGGATATTAAAAAGAATAACAAATAAAATAATAAATATCACAATAAATAAAACCAGTGTAAATTCTAAAAAGAAAAACATAATTATAAACAGCTATGAAATGAAAGATGAATGATATTGTGTGATTGGTTCTCGTTCAACTGACTAAACCTGATTGGTAGGTGGGGGGTGGACATTCCACAGCTTCCTGTTTTGTCTCAGGTAACATCACAGCCTTCTCCTGCTCTCTGCAAATCCTGTTGCTCTCATGAGACAGGGAGGCGTGACACACACACAGGTGTCTCTCCAACACACACACACATAGGTGTCTCACACTGCACCCAGCTCTTCTTCTAGTGAGAGCTCATTGTGGGTTTTGCTGTAGTGTCCTCTTCTTGTGAGTTCAACTTGTCATTCATGGCGGGTAAACGCGGATTTCCATGTTGTCCCTCAACAGAAGAGCCCAAGGCAGTTCCACTGTCCAGTGGGATCGCCACCCTGGCCCCGGCCGACCAGCTGTGGAGCGTCAGCAGAAACGAGGCAGTCCAGCTGCGGATGGAGGGCTCAGGCCAGGCCTCCGAGACTCCCATCACCATCCATCAGATGTTCCTGGAGACGGTGGAACACTACGGAGACTATTCTGCCTTGATGTCCAAAGAAGAGGGCCAGTGGGTGACTCTGACATGGAGGCAATACTACGAGCAGTGCAGGGCAGCTGCCAAAAGTTTTCTCAAGGTTTGTTTGCTGATGAACTCATCCTGCATATCTGCCTCTACACTGTGTGCTTCATGTATATATATATATATATAGATAGTGCAATCAGGAAGTACCTGGCACTGACTTTATTTGTTCTGTGGTCTCTTCTTCCGCACATTGGAACAAAACATTAACTGTGAGGTTACAGTAGGAGCTTCTAGCTTTTATTTCAGGTTCGTTAGCTCAATAATAAAGAAACTAAAGTCAGTCAGTTAAGGCTCTTTTTTATTTTTTTAAACGTAAAAGTTTCTGATTATTAATTGAATGAATTAAATAGAAAACTCTTTAGAGTGTGATGCTACAGAAATGGCAGTCCTCCTGGCAATTAGCAGGGCTTGTTGATCAGGTGTAGCTCTTCTCTGGATCATGATTTAATCATATATGTTGTGTAAAAAACTAATTTCAATTTCAATTTTGAGATTTTTCAATCTCAGGAAGCAGGGAAAATAAGATCTATTTCTATTTCTCATGAATTTTTCATGCTGTTTTTCTCCACAAACAAATGTTTCATGCTGTAATAATTTCACCAAATATATAGTTATCACCTCTTGTCATCATCTGACCAGTTTTTTCCAGAAAACACAGATACATGTACTGTTATTTTCAAACCGAACTCTACGTTAATGTACTGCATTCACAGAGGAGTCGATGCAACATGCACATGAGCAACATGTCAAGAAATACAAGGAGACAATCCCCCCCCCCCCGGTGCTGTTGTTGTAAACTACCCTCTCTCACTGTAATCTCCCTGGTGTTAGAATGAGCGGCTGAAAACGTACACTTGGGCGTGTGAAATTCACAGCTTGTGTTACGTCTCGTGTTTCATGGCCATGTTCACATCTCATGAGATGGAGTGGCTTCTGAAAAGAAATAGGTTAAAGGTAGCAGAGGTACTGTGCCAGTGTGTAATTAAACATGTTCTTTAACAAAAACACTTCTTTCTTTCAGTTGGGGCTGGAGCGTTACCATGGCGTGGGCATTCTGGGATTCAACTCCCCTGAGTGGTTCATCTCAGACATCGGCTGCATCCTGGCTGGGTGAGACCATATTTAAACTGAGGGATTAAAAACATGGAGACTTTACCGTCCAGTTGAACCTGAGATGCCTCAACATCGTTTCCCCTCGCGCAGCACATTTACCTCTGTCACTGTTTATCTCATCACATCTACCTGTGAACTATTTAGTGTGACGTCTCAGGAATTTGAATGTGGGTGTTTGGCCTGTTATTCTGTCAGAAAAACCTTGGACACAGCAAAATGTAATGTTGTTTGGTATCCAGCTGTTATATTCAAAGACCTAAATTTACTGTGCAGCACACTTTCGATATAATGGTTGATTTATACATTTTATTTAATTTTTTAATTCCAATTTTCATTTAAGCAGAAGTGTATGTGTATGTGCAGCTCTCGAAAAGTCTGTTGTATTCGGTTAATTAAAAAAAAGGTCTTTGAAGGTCCTTTTAAAAAATATATTTCAGGCTCTAAGGAGAAGTTATATATGATTGTATACATAGAATCTAAGAAGTGAGACTGTGTTGCAGGAGGTCCCTGAAATTT